TCGATTCGGTAACTTCTAGCCTAATTTTGTTTATGGGATTTCTTATTATGAGTTACTTGATCGAAAAGTATGTTTTTTTTATACGAATTGAGAACTTACTAATTTCAGAGAATTTTAGGGTTTGTACTTGATGAGAAATGTGTGTGTTCGTTGAGATATCTTTCAGTTTTTAGTTCTAAAAAAGTTGTTGATGATTTGGGATGAGTTGAATTTACAATATATTACTAATGCAGATTCAAGCTAGAGCAATCCCACCGCTCTTGATTGGAAAAGATGTCCTCGGAGCTGCAAGGACAGGGTCTGGTAAAACTCTTGCTTTTCTCATACCAGCTGTGGAGCTGCTATATAACACACATTTTGCTCCTCGTAACGGAATGGGTGTTGTTGTGATTTGCCCAACACGGGAACTTGCAATACAGGTGAAAACCCCTGCATTTTGTTCTTTTTTGTAGTGGCATGTTAAATTTTCTTCCAATATCATGATGGAGCTTGGTCCAGTTCAAGAGACTTTTATATGACGTCGCATCGTGGGATATACCATTGAACCCCTTTATTCGTCTCTGACTATTTCTCTTTCCAATTAATTTAGACCCATGCTGTGGCAAAGGACCTTCTAAAGTATCACTCTCAGACTCTTGGCTTGGTTATTGGAGGTTCAGCTAGGAGAGGGGAAGCAGAACGTATTGTAAAAGGAGTGAATTTATTGGTTGCAACCCCTGGTCGACTTCTTGACCATCTTCAGAATACCAAAGGATTCATATATAAGAACTTGAAGGTGCTTCACATCTATTCGTCGGAAATATTGTTTTAGTTGTTCCAAAAAGTTTTTCAGTGGTTATTTTCTGAAATGGTTCTGAGGGGTACAGTTGACTTTCTGATTCGAAGCAAATTCTAACTACTGTTTCCCTGACTTCGGAATATTCTGCTGTTGTTGTTAATCCTTTTACTGAAATATTGAACCGTATTTTCTGATCCTATTGCAGTTTGTGTTGTTATGTTAGAGAAAAGAATTAGCTTCTTGATGTGGTTAAGCTAAATATCTTTGATTGAGATGTAGCGCATCATGACATCACAGAAATTTGTCAATCTTTGATTTCATTGTTGTCCTGGACTTGCAGTGCCTCGTGATTGATGAAGCTGACAGGTTATTGGAAGCGAACTTTGAGGAGGAAATGAAACAGATTGTCAAGATTCTGCCAAAGGTAAATTTATTTAATTTTCTACCTCTTCTGTGACAAAGACTCGAGTGCTGCAATCCTTAGCTGTAAAGCAACATATGCTTCTGTTTTTTTTTTTTTTTTTTAATTTTTAATTTTTTTAATTAAGAGGAGCTTGAAGTATGGTTAGTTGAGTTTGATTTTATTCAGAAATCAGCCTGGATATATTAGTTTTATGGTTTAGGTGCCATTTCAAAATGAGTTTTACTTGGTAATATGCGTTGGCTAATCGAATTGCTAATGGATGTGCAGGATAGGCAAACAGCTTTATTTTCAGCAACCCAAACTAAGAAGGTTAGTGTATTGTATCCTTATTGGATAGTATCCAATATCTTGCTTTCTGCATTGTTTTTAAATGTTTTTGGCTTAAACACAGTTAAATAGTTCTATAACTTTTGTTTCTTTGAGTCAACAAATCTTTGTGTGCCCATTTGTTACACGAGTGCTTTGTTCTGATAAATCTTTTCTTGTTAAACCTATAGGTTGAAGATCTTGTTAAGTTGTCATTTCGAAAAGATCAGAAACCTATCTATGTTGATGTGGATGAGGGGAGGTCAAAGGTAGGAATCCAGTTTGATTATGTATTCCTCATTTTACATGCATTTGATGTTCATATCTGTTATGAATTAAATTTTACTTTGTACTCTCTCCAAATTTTTTATTTCTTGTGATTTAGCCCTAATCAGTGGAATGACGAGATTGTGTGAACTGTAGGTCACCAATGAAGGGCTGGAACAAGGCTATTGTGTTGTCCCAAGTGCGAAGAGATTTCTTCTCTTATATTCTTTCCTGACAAAGAATACATCTAAGAAAGTTATGGTCTTCTTCTCGTCTTGTAACTCAGTGAAATTCCACTCCGAACTTCTTAGATACGTTAATGTGGAATGCTTTGATATCCATGGAAAGCAAAAGCAGCAGAAGAGGACAACTACTTTTTTTGACTTCTGTAAAGCAGAGAAAGGAATCTTACTTTGTACTGATGTTGCTGCTCGTGGACTGGATATTCCTGCTGTGGTAAATTTCCTTTTCCTTTCTGTAACAGAACAGGATTAAACTTACGAAAATTATGGTTATCATTAGTTTTTTTTTTTCATCATTCAATTATTTTATGTACCAGTACCGCAATGAGTATGTTTATTCATTTCACCACAATGGCAACATTCATCTTGATCTATCAGCCCCTTCCCAGACATCTCCCTTGCCCACTCCTCTTTATCCTATTAACAATATTTACAATTACGAATGCTCACGGTAATCTATGCTGCTTCTTTCTTTTCTTTTCTTTGCTTGTAGGACTGGATTTTGCAGTTTGATCCTCCGGATGAACCGACGGTATCTATTATTCCTTCTTTTTAACAGATTTCTAGTAGTTTGAGTATCCAGCGATTCTTCATCCATGCTGAATAACAGCGTATCATGGGATATGTACTTGCAGGAATATATCCATAGGGTTGGTCGAACAGCTCGAGGGGAAGGTGCAACAGGAAAGGCATTACTTTTCCTCATTCCCGAAGAGTTGCAATTCATTCGCTATTTGAAGGTATGATTTGCAGCTAAAATGTTTTACAGAAGGTTGTAAGCAATATCTAGCTTTTGTTTAGGTTTTCTATCTGCGGTGTGATGCTTTTTCTCCATTTCAATCCATATTCATTTTTGTCTCCAGGCTGCAAATGTGCCCGTTAAACCATACGATTTTAATGAAAAGAAGCTGAAGAATGTGCAGTCAAAACTGGTAATTTCGTGTTCGATTGTTTTCCATCATCATGCAATAACTAGGCCCATGGAAACTTATGCATTGCTTCGACTGATGCAGGAGCAGATGGTTCAAAACATTCACTACCTGAATAAATCAGCAAAAGAGGCGATACATCTTATTTATTAGCATACAATTCACACTCTATGAAGGACATCTTTAATGTACACCGGCTTGATCTGCAGGTACCCGTCTTTTTCTTGATATGAAGTTGTTCATCTTTTCATCTAAACGTTTACTGTGTAAAGATTAAAGAGATTTTCGTAGGGAAACACGAATGTTATCCATACTGACATCTCAATGTTTGATGGAATTTGGGCAGGCGGTTGCAGCTTCTTTTTGTTTTTCTAATCCGCCCAAGGTGCATTTGAACTTAGACAGCAGTAAATCGAAGTTCAGGAAGAAGACGCGTAAAGAAGGAAGTCGAAATGGATTCAGTGAGAGCAATCCTTACGGCAATCGAAAAGGCGGAGATGATAGACAGTTCATAAGGCATTAGAGGAGCCTTGTGTGTGCAGCAATTCTGCTCCTTTCTTTTCTCTTGCAACAGTTTTGTTATTTTCTACCGAGGTTTTGAAGCCGAAACTGAGACTGTAAAACGCAATTTTGATCGATGGCTTCAATGCGCTTCGTCTTCCCGAGTTATTACTGTGTAAATTAAAATTGATGTTTTTATACATGGATTTGTCTTTTGACATGTTTTGATAGTATCAATTCGTATTGCAATCCCAAATCGTTTGATTTTTCTATGTGCGGTAACTTACAAGATTATTATTTTTTTTTTGGTCAAGGGGATGATTTTATTCCAACCAAAACATAAACTTACAAATAGACAAAGGCCCGACAAAACCTATAAACAACCAAAAAGGGCTTAAACGGAAAGAAAAAAAATAACAGAAACAGAGAATGAGCCCAAAAGCCCAAAACCAAAGAACATCCAAGAAGCGCCCACTGCCTTCTCCACCGATGTTCCAAGGAACTACTAGCTAGCCAATTCTCCGACCATCGCCGATCATCTCCTTCACTGACGTCTCTTGCGCACAGCCATAAGTTAAGGGTAATCGGCATCCAAGCGAAAGAGGCCAATCACTAGGTGGAAGCTCATAACAAGTCCCGAGCAACACTGCCGCAAGTGGCAGACACAAAGGAGAATGTGGTGGTGTGGAAAACACCGGAGCCGGTGCAAGCACCATAACTCTACACATGAACTCGACAGAGGACATGGCTGAAAAACAAAGCAAGGAAGAATTAGGAAGAAGAAAACCCACAGAGTTGGAGGAATTGGATAGGCCGAATTGAAAATTGGGGAGAACCAACAGTAGATGTAGGGAGAAAATAAGGAGAAAATGGAGAAGAGGACACATCACATGACCCCAGTCGAAGCTAGGGTCGGTGCCACCGAAAAGTCTGGAAGAAGGTCTCACAGAAACACTCTCACAGCAGAAAGAAAGAAACTCTCACAGAGGAGAAACTTTTTCAGCACCATCTTCAATCAATTACAAGATTGTTGTTGCAAGGTTGCAAGTGTTGGATTGTGGCTTTTCTCTCCGACTTGTCGAGTTTCGGGTTTAAACTCTCTCTTTCCTTTATATAGCTTGGAAGAATAATGTCGATTGTAATAAAATTTTGGGTAATCTCACTTTACTACTCGTCTTGAAATTCACACTTTGTTACATTTAGTTATTTTCGTCATAGTTTCAGAGCTAAACTTTGATGTTTCTTAATATTTTATTACTTCCGTTAAGTGATGATATTGAATCTCTCATCACTTGACAAATATGGTAGACCAAAGTTATGTCACTTCATCAATTAATGTAGAACTTGACGGAAAACATAACGGAAGTACTAAAGTGTCAGAAAAATCAAAGTTTAAGCATGAAACTGAGATGAAAAAAAATAAGGATATCAAAGTCCGAATTTCACGATACTTGAGGTTAATAAGGTGAGAATCACCCTAATTTTTTTTGAAATTATGTGAGAACGATTGAGGCATCCATCAACATTTATCCTAATCTATGGAAAAATTATCATACTTCCAAAAAAAAGATTAAAATTCATAAACCCAAATTAGTTCAAGTCTACACTCTTTTAATCTCAAAAGACCAAAATCTGATTAGGGGTACGGAAAAACACAGAAAATTAAAAACCATCGCGTATCACTGCAACTAGAAGAAAAAGACCACAACAAATGACACCATGCAGAACACAAGAGTTGCTGCAGAGGAGATGGCCGCCGTTGCAGCCGAACCATGCTTCGGCTGCGACGGGTCCGTTGCGTTCTGATCAGCAGATTGAGGCGGGGTTGCCGGCTCCAAGACCTTGATGATCATCTTCTGCCCTCTCTCGCAGTGCCCGGCAACTCCGCTGATGAAGTAGAACAAACCAGGCCGGTCCAGTGTGAACGTAGTTGCACCGTTGTTGGAGTAGAAGATGGGATGGGCAGAGTGGCATTTTTCGTACTCGTCCTTGGTCACCACCATCACCGAGTCTTTCGTGTAATTGAAAGCTAAGTCCATGAAGAAAGCATAGCAAAACGTTACTTAAAACAAATTAAACAGGAATCTGATCTTGGCCAAGAAGCTTTAGATTTCAATAGAAGAAAACCCGACCATAGTTACTAACATTAGTTGCGCAAAATGAGGTGGGTAAAAGGCGCCTCAATGACTGATGTCTTCATATATATGATTTGCTTCTTTATCCATCTTATTATGTGCAACTAATGACAGTGACTATTGTCATTTTTTCTTGACAAGCAAAACGTTACTTAAGACAGATTAAATAGGAATCTTATCTTAGGCAAGAAGCCTTTGATTTCAATAGAAGGAAAACCCAAAAATAGTTACTGACATTAGTTGCGCAAAACAAGGTCGGTAAAAAGCGCATCAAGACTGATATGTCATTGTATATACCATCTTATTCCATGCAACTAATGACAGTGACTATCGTCATTTTTTTCTGACATAAGTGAAGAGTGACTTACAGAGAGCGTCGTCGACCTTGAACCGGTTTTTCGAAGCCCATTCGTTGTACATTTGTTGGCCGTTCTTCGATTTCGGGACCTCCCATCCACTCTTGCCTCCAACTTCGAATTTGGTACCAGATACAAAAAGGACTTGGGATGTAGAAAGAAGAAAAAAGAAGAGAAATGCTTTGGAGGTTGCCATTTGGACTGTGCAGGGAGCTCACTCTTTGCCTATCAAGAACAAAACGAGCCGTATAGTTTGATGGAATGTGGGAGGGAGCACTGCAATTTATACAGTGCTGGAGTCAAGAAGGGGTGAGGCTCGGTAAATGGATAGCTAGGTTTTTACTGAGGGTGGGTAAAAAGTGAGGATTCTTGGGAGTAAAAAGTGGAGGTGCATGGATGTAGCGGTTTGAGTTTGAGAGGAAAACAAAACCCTTATCTCTCTATCTTTGACTTGGTACGAGTGTTTTTCAAATGGCAGCTGAGATGATGAGGCTGTTGAGTGAAACTAGCTTTCTTACCTTAATTCAAATTTCCGGATATATGGAATTGAATATTTTAGAATATCGTTTGTAAAAAGAATTACGAAAGTGATGTAAGGTACGTTAGTCTAGTAATGTAAATGGGTCGTTTTCAGTTAACACATGAATGCATCTTCCATCATTCAAGCCATGGATAGTACTTTAAAAGGTTGAAAAGGAAGAACGGAAAAAAAATGTTATAGAGATAAAAAGTTTAACTTTTATCGTATGTTGATCTTTGTGTCATACCCTATCATTTTATAATATATAAAGATCTAAATATTTTGATACAAGATAAGAGGGGTGACATTAGACGTGTAATGAAAACATTGAGAAGAGAAGACATGATTTGCACTAGAAAGTAGTAAAAAAACATAAAGAGAGGTGCCGAGGGATGAACCTAAGATGTGGTGGGATTCGAGATATCGAGCGAGACCGGATCAACTTGTCATATCACGAATGTTGCATAAATAACGTGTCACAAAACATACTTAAAATAGATACCTAGAATCACTTGGCAAGCATGCATATATCTCTACATTTAGCTCTTTATTTAACTGCAGAATCATAGTCAAACTTGATGAGACTTGTAAGTTATTTAGTATAATATTTAAGCCGAAAAGTAAAAAAATAAGTGAAAAATGTAAAGATGTTAAAATGTATATTTAGTGCATATTTTTGTATTTTTTTTAAATTAGAGATGTTAAAATCACTTTTAATCTTTTAGGTGAGACTTCAATAAAAAATAGCAAAATTTTGTTTTGTTAATTAGTCTTTCAACCTCTTTTGGTTGACAAAGAGGATTCTATTAATATATAATTTAGATTTATATAAAAGAAAAATTAAAAAAATAAAAGAAAAGTTAACAAAAATGTGAATTCTTGGGGTGGCAGAAAGTCACGCGTGACTTTATGTCACCCAAAGAATTTGAATCATTTTTGCCCATTTTTGTTAATTTTTCTTTCATTTCTCCTACCACTACAACAAACTAATATATTCATGTTTTTCAAAATATATTTTTCCTTACATGGAGCATGACTCGTTTTCTGAGCACTTGGGACGTCTCGTTCTGCGTGCCCAGCCCGCCTGGTCTTGTGTGCCTGGCTTCGGCTCATTCTGCATGTGAGGTGTGCACATCATTTTGCGTGTCAGAAGCCCACCCATTTTGCATCCACAGAGCCTACGTCGTTTTTTGCATGCAAGGAGCTAGACTCGTTTTTCTTGTGCGAGCTAGCCTCATTTTATGTGCCAAAAGCCTACCTCGTTTTCTATGAACAGAGCTCACCTTGTTTTGTATGCCATGGTTCGCTTCATTCTACGTGAGCTAAGTCCGACTTGTTTTGTGTGCGTCGAGCCCGCCCATGTTTTTTGACAAAAATGCAAATTTTTTATTTTCGCAAAATATTTTTCCTGATCATTAAGTTAATTTTTTTAAGGAATTTGGAAGCAGTTTTACAATTTATCGAGCAACAAATGTATGTTTAGTAGTATATTTGAGCCGAAAACTAAGAAAATAAGTGCAAAACATAGTAGTGCGTCCCAGAACATTGTCAAATAGAGTTCGACACTCAAGAATCTCAACGGAAAGTCTCGTCTTAATTTTTAAACTTCACATTGAGGCGAATGTGAAAATAAATAGATTGAGCGGTGATTTAGGTACGAATTTGCAAAATCGACGAAAAAGCATATTTTGAATAGTACGAATATGATAGTTTGATGTTGTAGTAAGAAAAATAAAGGAAAAATTAACAAAAATGTACAAGATTGTTCAAATTCTTTGGGGTGGCAGAAAGCACGTGTGACGTTGTGGTTGTCAAAAAGTCACGCGTGACTCTCTAGCACCCCAAAATTTTGAATCATTAATTGCCCGAAAAAGCAAATCAAATTAATGAATGATTCATTATCATCATGCAAGATCAAAATAAATTGCCAAATGATTCATGAATTGTGTTTTTGCCCCTAAATTTAAATATTAGCTTTTGGAATTCGAAAGTTAACAAATATATTGCACACTTGCCCTATTCGTCAATTCGTGCAATAATTCAGAGACTATTTCTCCAGTTACGTCTTTTTACTTCTTCAGTTCGTCAACTTTGCCCTAGCCATCATGGCCCAAATCTTATTTAATTGGATCATGTTCTACCCGCCCAACCCAAACTCTCCTCGAGGCCCAACGAGTCAATTACCGCTAAAAAATTGCACAGAGATTTTCAATATGACCGGCACACGAGGTGGTACATCATGTGTTATTATATAAATTGTAGAATATGTGTGTTAAGAAGTTAACAACTTAAAAAATAAAATTTTCCATCACTCACATAAAAACACGTAAGTGATGTACCACTCTTGTTCTCATTACAATAAAAATTTTCTCCAAAGAAACAAGTGAAACGATGTCTACCCCACCAGCAAACGACGTCGTATCGGAGCGCTTTGCGCTCGCTAGGTTCTGAACTCTGAGCTCTCTGAAACAAATTTCGTAGCTTCTTCTGGAAAAAAGAGAGAAAAAATAAAAAAATGTCGAAAGATTCAGAGAAAAAGTTCCACTCGATCATGGACAAGCTATTTTTCGCTCCCAAATCTGCGCCTAGCTCCGATTCCAGGTTCGTGTATATATGTGTGTGTATATATATATATATATTTTTTTTTTTTTCAGTTTTGCTCTTAATTTTCTCGCTCGTTTTCTGTTTGTTTCCCGAGAAAATGAGCTGCAAATGGGGAATTTTTATACTTTTGTTATTAAGTGCTAGTTAAATCCCTGATTATTTCATATAAATCCAAGATATTGAATAATATTACGATAAATCGAGTTTTCTGTTTCTTTTTCTTCAGATTTTATGGCAATTTTGATGTAATTAGTGGCCAAATCATGGAAATCTGGCTTTTATTTTTTGCTAACAGTTCATCTGGTGTACAAACTTCGAGAGGCAAAAAGCGAGCAAATCCCTCATCCGCATTGGCACTAGTAGAACCGAAATCGAGAGGCGATAGAATGGGGGTCTCCCGGCATTTTTCAGCTCCGGCTGTGGCGGCTCATGCTCCGCTGTGTAGGCCGTGGGACCGTGGGGATCTTATGAGGAGGGTAGCTACATTCAAGTCCATGACTTGGTTTGCCAAGCCTAAGGTTAGAATTCTGTCTTCCAATATGACATGTTTTGTAATGTTAGTGTTTACTTGTTAGCTTGCAAAAATAGCTCCGAATAGGCGAATAAAAATGCGGTCTGGAAATTAGCTCCTGGTTAGTGAAATTTAGGGTAATGTTGAAACAACTACAGTGGTTTTATTGAGTCGTTTGCAGTGGAGCCGTTGTTTGATACAAAGCTTTAATCTTTTTGGATGCACAAACAATAATTTGCCAACTTTGAACAGGTGGTGAGTGCTTTAAATTGTGCCAGAAGAGGCTGGATCAACGTGGATGCAGATATATTAGTGTGTGAATCGTGCGGGGCACGCCTCTTATTTTCTACTCCTTCGTCTTGGAATCAGCAGCAAGGCATGTTATGTCTCTCTTTATGTGAAATCTCCCTCCAATTAAACCCATGCTGTAAAATTAAGTAACGCTATATTGTAATTATCTAATATTCATAGTAAAGTAAACCGATTTCCTGTGTTTCCCAGTTGAGAAGGCAGCTTTGGTGTTTAGTTTAAGGCTCGACAATGGGCATAAGATACTCTGTCCATGGATTGACAACGCATGTGATGAAACACTGGCAGAGTTTCCACCTATGCCACCTCCAGTTTTAGTTGATAAGTTTAGAGAACGCTGCTATGCTCTTTTAGAACTCTCAGTTCTCCCTGTGATTTCTTCTTCAGCCATTGAGTACATGAAGAGCCCTCAGCTAGAGCAATTTCTTGGACAGTCTTCAATGTTTTATGGCAATGGGTCTGGAGACATTTCTAGAACAGAACATTCTGTCAATGAAGACAGTGCAGATTCTGCCAAGTTATATTATCAGGTATGTGCCTGTTTAGTTGCACGCCTGTTCATGTTCATGTTCTTTTGGATGTATTTGTGCATCGCTGTTTCATATCTTCTGACTTTAATTCTTTAACACTTTTGGATTTGTTTTTTAGAAGTCTGTCTTATCAGTTTCTAGCATTCTTGCTTTCTTCATGTAGACCAATGACGTTTTAAAGCATTTTTTTTTCAGGCACAAAAGCTCATAAGTTTATGCGGCTGGGAACCTCGTTTACTACCTTATGTTGTTGACTCTGAGAACAGACAGAATTATTCAGCTACCAACAGACAGAATCTGGGCATCAATGTGCACTCTGCTAGTAATGATGAACTTATGAAGTCACACAATACCAGTATACAGTCTGAACACAATTCTGTTGTTTTAGACTGCAAGCTTTGTGGAGCCAGTGTTGGATTATGGGCATTCTCTACCGTTCCACGGCCTGTGGAATGTTTCAGATTAGTTGGATTTGCAGAAGTAAACTCTGAAAGTCGTTCTGGAACCCATGATTCAAACACTGAAAGTCACTGCGACAGTAGGATAGATATTTTAAATGCTGGCGTAGATGGTGCAACATTGTCAAAGGACAGATTCTCAAATTTAAATTTGACAATTGCAGGGGGTCCTCCACCTACAAATCAGAATTTCAAAGCAAAAATCTTGTTGCCTGTTATTGGTCGGAATTTAAGGGCTCGGATTTCATATGATACTGAATTGAGAGATTGTTTGTCTGTTGGCCAGGAAGGTATGCAATCTGATTC